CCCCCCCCCCCCGCTGGATGGGGTCAAATATTAAAGACCGATGAGATAAGAGAGACCTTTAGATGAACCACTTTCTACTCAACACGAAGCAGGTGAAGCCTCTCGCTTCTACAACCACCACCACGCAAACATCTGCAACATCTGGGATCAACAGGATGTTTGTGTTGCTATTATTGTGTTATTATCTTACCTGGCCATCGCCACTCCAAACACACACCCCCCTACGGTGGACCAGAAACCGATCCAACCGGCGTCCACCTGGGAGGAAGAGGAGGAAGAGGAGGAGAGATTACTGTTAACCATCCATCATGTGACATTGTAAACAACCAACGAGTGTTCAGATCAATAGGAGGAGGAGCTAGCAGCGTTAGCAGCTCAGCTAACAGAGTGGAGGAGCTAGTAGCGTTAGCAGCTAACAGAGTGGAGGAGCTAGTAGCGTTAGCAGATAACCGAATGGAGGAGCTAGTAGCGTTAGCAGCTAACAGAGTGGAGGAGCTAGTAGCGTTAGCAGCTAACCGAATGGAGGAGCTAGTAGCGTTAGCAGCTAACCGAATGGAGGAGCTAGTAGCGTTAGCAGCTAACCGAATGGAGGAGCTAGTAGCGTTAGCAGCTAACAGAGTGAAGGAGCTAGTAGCGTTAGCAGCTAACAGAGTGGAGGAGCTAGTAGCGTTAGCAGCTAACAGGTGGAGGAGCTAGTAGCGTTAGCAGCTAACAGAGTGGAGGAGCTAGTAGCGTTGGCAGCTAACCGAATGGAGGAGCTAGTAGCGTTAGCAGCTAACAGAGTGGAGGAGCTAGTAGCGTTGGCAGCTAACAGAGTGGAGGAGCTAGTAGCGTTGGCAGCTAACAGAGTGGAGGAGCTAGTAGCGTTAGCAGCTAACAGAGTGGAGGAGCTAGTAGCGTTAGCAGCTAACAGAGTGGAGGAGCTAGTAGCGCTAGCAGCTAACAGAGTGGAGGAGCTAGTAGCGTTAGCAGCTAACCGAATGGAGGAGCAGATGCTGAAGGACGGTGATTTCAGAGCCAATGAAGCGCAGCGCGGCCTCGTCCTCGTGTCTCTGTAAACAGCGTTCCAGGCTTTGACACGTCCACATGTTTGTTTGTTTGTTTGTTTTCTCTTCGTCCACTCTTCTAATGAGCTGTTTTTCAAGACCTCGTGCGCAGCTTTGCTTCTTCATCCTGTTTCCTTTTTAAAAGTATCTGCATGTAATCACACCACAGCTTTAAGAGAAGGGCGGAGCTCCATGTGAAGCTCAGAACTTCACCAGAGACTTTGTGAAGGACTCAACAAAGTAATCTGATTCCTGATGGAGTTCCTCCATTAGGGGAACAAGAAGAGACGCTACACAGCACAGAAAACCTCAGGAGGAGACGCTCGTCCATCTCAGCGCCCAACCAAGGAAACCACACGCTGACTGACAGGTCTCTACCAGACCGTAAAGCAGGGGATACTTTAGGGCGGGGCTACACCCTGATTGACGTAGTAATATACATCATTATGGTCACTTCCTGTTCATCGATTTGATGAAAAAAAGACGATAGTGACGGAGAAGTCGAGGCTTCTAAACGTCAGAGGCGAGGTCGACTTCAGTGGCAGCAGATCAACAGCGAGGTCAAGGCGTGCTCCACCCGTTTGCTCCACCCGTTTGCTCCACCTGTTTGCTCCGCCCGTTTGCTCCAATAGGAATTGAAGCCCCAGGAAGTTAATAGAAAGCACGGAACCCTTTCTTTAAATCACCAGAGCAACCTTCTTCCTGGATGATGGATGAGCTGAAGATGAAGAAGCCGTGAGGACCAGAGGAAACGGGTCTGTTGATATGTGGTGCCCCCCCTCCCCCCTCCGGCCCCCCAACGAGGGCTTTCTGTGCTGCTCTTGGATGGGAGTGAATCAACAGACTGAAGCCGGAGGATTTAAAGCTGCGGCGTTCGCAGACGTATTTACTCCTCGGCTCGCTGAGCAAACGCGGTAAATCTCCCGCCGCAGAGACTGAAAACACCCAAACAAAGGGAGGGTAGGGGGGACGGGTACCTGCCCGTTAGTGGCTAGTTAGCTACCTAGCCTGCTAGGTAGCTAACTAGCCAGCCGCTGCAATGCTCCACTAGCTGTTCTTTACGTTACATTACAGGTTGTTTAGCTGACGCTTTTATCCAAAGCGACTTACAGCAGCAGCGGGCAGCAATTAGCGGTCCGGTGTCTTCCTCAGGGACACTTCAACGTGGGACACGGAGCAGCCGGGGCTCCTGCGCCACATGGACCTGGTTCTTCACACGAGTCTGTGAACATCAACCTACCTGGCTGACTTTGGCTGGCGTGAGGACCATGTCGAGGACCCCCCCCCAGCCGGCCATCACTCCAGAGGGGACGGCGTAGGCCAGCGCCACCATCAGGAACCGCATGTTGCTGAAAGGGAAAGTCTGGTTAATTCATCAACTACACCTGCTGATTAAAAGCTTTTTTTTCCTCCAGGTAAAAAGATCTTCTCAAACAGGCCAATAGCTTCGCTACTCAGCCTCTTCTTCTGAACGTGCAGATAGTTGCATGAATTGCAACCATCTGCACACCTGCTGGTCCTCTCACACCTGCTGGTCCTCTCACACCTGCTGGTCCTCTCACACCCGTTTTACTTCATCTGGCCCAACCAGAAGGGATTTAGTTTTGGTTCTCGCGGCCAGAGGAGTGAACAGGAAGTACACGGCCTCGTTGTGATCAATCAAATATCAGACCATAGATATATTTTTCGTAGCGGAGCTTCTCCGGTCCCGGTCCAAACGAACCGGACTCACCAGGCGAAACGAGTCCTGGCGTGTTTCAAAGAACCAAAGACTCTAGGAAGGGACAACTTGAACCTGATGATGTCATCACTGTGGCTTCCTGCAACGCCCCGAAGCCATCGATCAATCAATACTGGTTTAAAGATGAGATCATGATGCCCGCGTGCTAACAAGCTAAAGGACACGCTAACTGTAAGCATGTTAAACAGCTAAATGTGTGACATGTTGATAGAGGGATATCAATCCAAAGCCATGCAAGTAGGTTTTAATATTAGAAATGAGTGGAGGATTTGGATGGTGGGCACGTTGTCACGGTAACCCAGTGGCACTGGACCGGATCAGAGCCCCCAGCCGGGTGACCCAGTTGAGTGTGAGTCTGTATCAGCTGCAGCCCGTGTGGTGGAAGTGAGGCGGCTCCTAACGGGCCGTTAAGCCGGTTGGAGCCCTTTTGGTTTCCTCCGGCAGGGGCAGAGTGCAGCCCCCCCCATAACACCACCCCCACCACCCCCCTAACAACACCACCCCCACCACCCTCCCCCTAACACCACCACCACCCCCTCCCTAACCCCCCCCCCGTTAATCCCCGCCCAGCGGCTTCATTCCTTCACAAGCCGGACCAAAGGACTCAATCGATTCAATCGTTTTCTATCAGCTCTTCGTCCTCTAACTTAAGCCTAGTTTATGCTTCTGCGTTGTCAGAGACACGCGTGTCCCTTGCGTGTCTTTTCACACCTCGTTACGCGCGTCGACCCATTTCTCTAGACTAGCGTCTAGAGCGATGCAGCCTCCTGCAGCACCAGGCTGTGATTGGTCTGCTGACTACGTCCTTTACGGAGTCTCACATGTTGATATTAAACAAGGAAAAAAATCGTATTTGAATAAAAATGCAACATGAGAACCTGCATGAAGGTTTGACCCCACCGACCTCTGACCTCAGAGGGGCTTCTCCCTTCAATATCACCGCAACTGCGTGTGTGCGTGTGCGTGTTGTGTGCATGTTGTGTGTGTGTGTGTGTGTGTGGCCTCACCTGAGCAGTCTGCAGATGCTGCTCCGGTAGCTGAGGCGCTGGCTGGCGGCGGCCACACTGGGGGGCTGAGGGGGGCGGGACGGGAAATACAGCAGCACGGCCGCGAAGAGGACGGCGATGGCAGACAGCTCTGAGGGACACGCAGACAGACGGGAGGATTCAGAGAGACGAGCAGACAGAGACGAGCAGACAGACGGGAGGATTCAGAGAGACGAGCAGACAGACGGGATGATTTAGAGAGACGAGCAGACAGAGACGAGCAGACAGACGGGAGGATTCAGAGAGACGAGCAGACAGAGACGAGCAGACAGACGGAAGGATTCAGAGAGACGAGCAGACAGACGGGTGGAGTCTTTTGTTTATAACTTCCGTCTCTCTGCGTCCCTTCGCCTGTGACGTAGAAGTGATGTCACCGACCTGCGTACATGACCAGCTGGATCCGGTCTCGGATGAACGCGTCAGAAACCGCGGTCACCGCGGCAGCCGGCACCCCGGTGCCATTGGGAGCGGGCACCACCTGGGGCCCCACCAGGAAGGAGGCGGCGCTGCCCAGGTAGCAGAAGAGCGAGGCCACGGCCGTGGCGGTGGCCCTCTGGTCCGGGGCGAACCACGTGGTGGAGAGGAAGGGGCCGGCGCTCATGATGGTAGGGCCCGCCAGACCATTCAGGAGGTGACCTCCGTGGATCAGCCTGCAACAGGAACCACAGAAGAAGAAAAATCAATGAAGTAGAGAAGTGAAGAAGTGATGTACTTATAGATATTGATCAACAAACACAGGTTCAAGGTTTAAATCAGGATCCTTTGATCTCCTCACAAACAGGAAGTGACCTCGCCTCTTGTCCCAGGTTTGATCCTACAGTGTCCTCTGAGGTCAGTGAACACAGCACGCATACCAACACGAGCAGAGAGCGCCCTCTGGTTGACACACGGAGTGAGAGCTGTGACCTCATCGCTGTGACCTCACCGGGCCGAGCGTGACAGAGCGTCTCAAGGTCGTCTGAGGAGGCCAAAGGTCACGGCCGGGTAAAGGTCCTCCTCGGGGTTCAGAAGTTCACTGATGATGCTTCTCCAGTCTCTGGTCATGAGACGAACTAACCAATCAGTGTTTAGATCTAAAGGGGGAGGATCTAGTAACGTTAGAAGCTAACCGCTAACAGCTAACCAACAGAAGCTCACTTCAGTTACATATGATGCGTTCAGGTTCTCCTCAGCGAAAACGAGAACATATGTTCGTGACGTTATGATCTGTAAAATGTATTGTTAATTTTAATAAATACAAATATAAGATTAAATGTGATGTTGCACTTATTATATTACAGCATTAAACACAAGGACGATACAATTACATATTTTTTCCTTGTTATTTGAATTTGGTGACAGAAAAACCGATGATTGACTGATAATATTTGATTATTCATGAGGTTTTTGTGCGTTTGTCAGTGAGACCACGAACAGTTTAGTTATATTATACATCATTAGTTATAGTTCCACCTCCCTGCGCCACAAACAGGAAGTCTGCTGCTGCCGCTTGATTCTGTTCCCTTAAATGTTAAATGTCAGCAGACACGTGGAGAAGTGAGCGGGTAGAATTAGTCTTTATATTGATGACACATTATATATATAGAACATATTAAAATGTGAACAACTACACATCAATTAAAAAAGACATCTATAAAGGTCTGTTTGAGCGTGAAGAAGTGGACTCAAGTGGACGGACTTCAGGCTCTTGAAGCTGTCAGACGTCTGTGAGGAACACTGAAGGTTGCGACCACACAGCGAACCCAAACGTGACATTTCCCAGCAGCTCGCTGTAATAAACTCACTGAGCTTCTCTATTCTCGTGCATCCATCTGGTGTCACCGCGCAGGAACAGATGGATTCTTCAGCTCTGAGAGAGAGTCTCTGTGGAACCGTCTACTGGGGAGATGTTCTGCCTCGTTGTATTCGTGGGACAGATTAGTACTCAAGGAAATGACTTCGTAGTAGCGGCGACCTTCTCTGAGGTCGTGAGCGGAGGATAACGATCTGGTCCCTTTAATGGCATCACGGTTCTGTCTGATACGGAACCAGCAGCGAGACCAGTAGAGGATCCACCAAGTACCACTGCCGACGAGCTCCCTCATCAAACCCGACTACCAGAGGCTGTCCTTCCACGGCGAGCCCCAGGTCACCATGACGACGATCTGCTCCTCATTACAAACCTCTCAAAACACCATCGCCCCATCACCTTCATCTCCATCATCCCATCATCTTATCTCCATCATCTCCATCGCCCCATCATCTTATCTCCATCATCCCATCATCTTATCTCCATCATCTTATCTCCATCATCCCATCATCTCCATCGCAGTCTTACCATCTCCTAAGAGGCAGCTCCGTCAGAGGGATGCTCCTCAGGGCCGAGCCCAGCAGCATGAAGAAGGCCGAGAGGAGGAGGGACGCCCGGAGACCTGCAGGGGGGGGGGGGAGATGACGACGGGGTGGGGGGGCACGGTGGAGATTATGAGGCCAAATATTTACACTCAAATCATCAAGTCTTGTGTTTCAGAGGCTATTAATGTTTAGTTTATTAAATATAATAATGATAAATATTGTATTTTTGAGGGGGGGGGAGTCCTATAAACTATTATATGTTTGTTTTGTCTATGAAATACAATGAATAAAGTAAAAGCATAATTTCATTATTTATTATATTGATGATGTTTTAATAATAATAAATTAAAAAGAAGTAACAAAGAGCTCAATAGGAAAGACATCCAGAAGTAGCAGCTTCATCCTCAGGTGGTGAAAATAATTCCTGTGTGACGATGTCAGACATTTTTTATCCGCTCTTTACATTTATTATGATGCAAACTGCAAGGAAGCACAACCGGAATGTGCTGCGGATTGTGTGTTTTCGTGTTGATAACAGGCTTCAACTGAACGCTGTCAAGCTTCGCTGAATTTCATTGATTTAAACATCAATGACAAAAATAGATACTGCCGTCAATAGGAACAGTTCCAGAGCAAAACAAACCGCAGCCTCCAGCTATAAATAAATAAAAACATATTAGATAACGAGACAACAGCGTGTTAAACAAGTGTGACACATGACGCCGCGTTCTGTTTCACCCACATGACGCCGCTTTAAGGAAACTTCTCTGCACGTGATGAAGCTTTGACTGGATCAACACACAGACAAATTAAATAAAATAAATAAATACTTATTCATCAACACAATCAAGTTGTGTTTTTGAATGAGGCCCTGTGATCAACTCCTTCATCCTTCTGTTGAATAAATGCTTTCATTGAGTCCATAATGATTGACTAATGAACTTGAATAGGTCGTAATCTCCGTCGTAGCGGTTTCGCTTCCTCGTTTTCTCCGAAGTGAAGGTTGAACCGTTGAGTCATAAGATATTTATGATGTTTGGCCACTAAACTAAACCTGTGGGCTGACACCGCTCAGCATGAAGCGTTTACTGTTCACTGAGCCGCTGCTTCCTGAAGCGGTGCGTTCGAGGACCGTTGGAAGAACGTGATGTTACACCTTCCAAACAAATGACCCCACCCCAACTGGAGGTTTGTATTCCTCGTCACCGCGGCAACAGAGATGTTTGGCTGCCTCGTGGCTGTTTACACCACGTGACCCGCCTCGGTCAGGTGACGCACAGCGACTCGAGCGGCTCCTCAAACGTCGTGCGCTGATCCTGAATCAGCGCTTTAAAGGAGGTCACGTGGTCCACCAGACACTTTCATATCTGTTGTTGAATAAAGGCTCAATGAAATTAATCATTTACAACGTTCAATTAAAAGGATTCCAAAAAAGAGCGTTGGAGCATTTTGATTGGCTGAGCGGCGGTTCATGGCTAACGTTGTTAACGCATAAGAAACGCCATTTAACTATACAAGTGTAGTAGGACAACGTACTGCAAGTACATATTTATACAGTATATATACACACGGTAGAATACTACGCGTGTCCTTCCCTCGAACCCTCCCGGCGACAGTAACAGCACAACGTAGGACACAGTGTACCAGGTAAACAAACGCACCTTTCTTGTCCATCAGCCACATGAACAGCAGCCACGGGCCAAAGCCCGCCGGGCCCCACAGCACCAGCAGCGCGATGTCCGAGCCGGTGAAGCCGAAGGCGCGGGCGGCGGAGCTCTGGATGGGACCCCAGAAGTTCCACACCATGCCCTGCATGAAGGCCAGCAGCGAGAAGAGGCTGAGGACCAGCCACCTCCGCCCGTACACTCGGCTGTGGGCCGGCGGGCCGGCGGGGTCCGCGTGAGGCGGCGCGAGGAGCGGCTCGCGCTCGTCCTCGGCGCTCGAACCCGCGGCGCCCATCGCGAAGGCTGTCCGGTGACGTCCAGGTGTGTAACGGACGTTTCCCCCGTTCGACCGCGCGAAGTGTAACCAAAACTAGCTTCTGTTGTTGTCCAAATATACTCCTGCGCATGCGCGAGCGGAAGTTTGCTCCCAGGCCGAAACTGTCGTCACCGTTGCCGCCATTTTGGCTCGTCCGGTGCGTTGAACTAACGGAGCGGAGCCGCAATGGAATCCGCAGCGAGGCGCTGCGTGAGGTAGACGTCGCCGGACACTGGTCATGTGATGTTTGTTTACTTCCGCCCGAGTCTCAACTGCACGTGGAGTGTAAGGTGAGTTGTGTTTGACCGTTAGAGAGACGGCTAATGTTAGCTAACGTCAGTTTCTCTTTCTCGTTTGTATAATAAAAACACGGCTTGAAAATGACCGTAATGTCGCTCATTTATCCTCCATTTAGCACCTGATTGGATTCAGCCTCTGTTGGTCATGAACTTGATTGAGATCGATACATTATTGATCCGTGATGATGGCTGGTCGCGTTCACTCTCCGATAACATTGGTTCTGTCACGAGGGGGAATAAAGGTGGTAAAACCTGCCAGAAAAGAAGCAAGCTCTGGTTTCCTACTATCCCCAAAGGCTAAACTGCTGCTTTATTCTGCCACCGAACCTCAGTGAGACACTACAGAGGGGTCAGAAGTATCTGTAAACTACTTAATTACCTTGAGACAAACTCTGTGAAGAAACAAGTCAAGTATTACATGTTTTATATAATCAGCTGATACATATTCACTCACATGTGGCACACTTTCTGTTTCTAAAACGTCTAAACCTTCTAGAGCTTCTTCGTGGGGTAAAAACACTAGACACACAGATTTAGTTTAATTATTGTTCACCTTTGTCCTGCAGAAGATGAGCTTCATAACCGGGTGACGACCTAAACTGGACCTTTCAGTCAGCTGACCTTTGACCTTATGTCCTCTGCAGGTCATGGCCTCCCCCGCCCCTCCCAAACCCTTCGGCCCAGAGGAGACCCGGAGGCTTCTCCATCGCCTGCAGACGCCCGCCGTCTTCCCTGACATGGCCGCCGGCTGGCCGGCGCTGCTCTGGACCGCAGAGCGCCTGTCCCGCTGCCTCGGGGACCAAGTGGTCCAGTTCCGACTCGGAAGGAAAGAGGAGATGAACGGTACGAACAGGAAGTTCATCCTGAGATACATACATGTTTATACATAAATAGGACGTTTAGACTCCTAGAGAGAAATACCCGAGCTGCGATTCTGCCTCCTGAATCGTATTATTTTCAAGCATATTGCCGACTCCTTTTCTTCTTGCTCTCTGCAGCCCCCCTGTTTGAGACCCAGTGCTCCTACGTGGAGGCCACACTGGAGCAATTCCTCAGCTGGACGCGACCTCAGACCGGGTCTCGCCTGGGGCCCTTCTGTGAGTACCCCAGCTCGGAGTACTGGGCCTACGCCGACTACAAGTACATCGCCCTGCTGCTGCAGGACCGCCCCGCCATGTTCCAGGTACTCGGCCTCCAGATCAGATCGCCACTCGGCACCGCTCCTGTCGCCGTGGAAACACGCGACATCGCACATTCAGGGGAACCAACCAGTTGGTTCATTTGGGTTACAAGGTGTATTTAGGTTCAAAACGAGTTGGGTTCTGCCTGAACACCAGGAAACTTAACTGTAGACATGAAAACCAGCCATTCTTAACATATAATAATAAAGAATATTATAGAATAGAGGGATTAACACACAGTGGGAGGAGTTTAAATTAGGGCTGTCAACATTAACGCGTTAATCTATAAGATTAATGTGACCAAGATTAATGCGATTAAATGTTTAAACGCAGTTAACACAACTTTGTTTACTTCCGGTCTTCCGTTGTGCCGGAAGCAAACACGGGAAACGAAACGTCAGTTTGTAAAGATGCAGAGAGGCTCTTTGACATGAACAGGTGTGACACCGCGGAGAGGAATTACTCCACGTGTCAAACAAGACGGACCACTTAAAGCACCGCTATGCTAAGCTAGCTGCTATGCTAACGTTACCCTGCGCGGCACACAGTCTGCAGTGTGACGGTGTCCCTAAAACACGGTGGTTTGAAAGCGTCCTGCTGAATGTGGGGACGTTGTTGGCTCTTCAAACTGATGGAGAGATGAGAGCAAAGTGCACGAGGACGACAGGAAGAGTCGCTAGTTCAACATGTTCCTCCAAGATGATCAGAGGTGTGTAGTAAAATATCATTAACAATTAAACAACAGCTTTCTAAAGTGATTACTCATTACTTTAGCAAAGATTTAGTCTTTATTCATTCTTTCATTCATTAATAAGCACGATAAATCATCCATATAAATATGCACACATAGAAGATCAATCATTATGATATCACATATTCTTCATTTCCTTTAGGATGATAATATTTTTAATTCTTTTGCTGTTTAATTAAAACATTTAATTTAAAAAGCATGATTCATTTCAACAAACAAAGAACTGAAGAAAAGCCTCTTTTATACTCTTATGTTCTTCATTCTCCTTGCTTTGACCTTTCAGTCAGTCGTTTTCCCGTGAGGACTTTCTCTGGCCGGTGAAAATGTAATAACTGCTATCGGCGCGTCGTAGCAGCAGCCGCCCGTCCAGCCCCCTGTGACGGACACCGGGCCGGCTCCTCCCCACAGGGACCTGCGCTGGGTGTCATGGCCCCCGTGCTTCTCTGTGCAGGATGTGAGGTGGTCCGACTTTGGCTTTGAGGGGCGTGACGGGAGGGAGAGCACCTTGTGGGTCGGCTCGGCGCGGGCCAACACGCCGTGCCACCTGGACTCGTACGGCTGCAACCTGGTGCTGCAGGTGGAGGGTCGGTGAGTGAACGAACGCCCCCCCGAGGCGGCTCACAGGAGGGATGCTGGAATGAGCCCAGGTTTTTACAGAAGCAGCAACTTCTGCAGTTAAGCAGAAGGCGGGCCTCTTTGATTGACAGGTGGTCTGCTGTTCTAGAGTTAACTATGATCAATCTGCTTACGTCTGCACCTCAGGCCAGGTGCAGGAGATCCACTGACTATCGCCATCATTAGAAGTGTTACAAGTGAGTCTGGTCTCCCACAGGAAGCGCTGGCACCTCTTCCCCCCAGAGGACACCGCCCACCTCTACCCGACCCGGATCCCCTACGAGGAGTCCAGCGTCTTCAGCCAGGTCCACGTGGTCCGCCCGGACCTCAGCAGGTTCCCTTTGTTCCGGGGGTCCAGAGCCCACGAGGTCACTCTGGAGCCCGGACAGGTCAGGATGTCACAGTATGAAGATTTAGAAACAGTGTGTGTGTGTAATAAATACATAAATATATATATATACACTTTATTAGCATGAACTCAGGCGTTTTCTCTTGTTTCATGTCGTCAATAATCAGTTTATTTCACACAGCTGCAGCAAACCAGCAGATTGATTCAGTGAAAACTCCGTGTTTATATTCTGTGATATCTGGGACTCGACATGTAAAAAGCTGCAGTAAGTGTTTGATTCCAGGCTGAGGTCACGTGGACGTGTACGTGTAATACTGGATATCCGTAGAGAACAAAGAACAGTCTTTAACGCTTCACCACGAGAAGCTCCTCATCTGTGGTTATTTCCAGTTTCTGTCCAGTCATGTGATGCCCTGCAGCAGCCGTCATAGGTCACATCTTCCATTGATAATAGGTTGACCTGTGGTCTGCTCAGGTGCTGTTTGTGCCCAGACACTGGTGGCACTACGTGGAGTCACTGGATCCCGTCACGGTCAGCATCAACTCCTGGATCGAGCTGGTGAGAGAAAACTAAGCAGTTAGCAGCAGGAGGGAGGAGGCTGCAGATACGTTTATCAATTAAACCAGTTCTTCAGTCAGAAGCAAAGAAAAATACTTCCAGGTTCCAGGTTTTTCAGAGTAAAGTTGAGACTCCTGAGGTCACGTGAAGAGAGGGTCTGTCTCATGCGGTTCTCCTTCTGGGCCTCCTGCCCCCTCCCAGGAAGCGGACGCCGTGGAGCGAGTCGGCGAGGCCGTGGCGAAGGCCGTGGTCTGTGCGCTGAAGAGCGAGGACGACCCTGACGACTGGCTCAACCCCACCGAGGTGACGAAGCAGCACCAACCGCACATTCAACGCACAAACTAGACCCTTTAGAACAGGACGCAGTGGGAAATGCGGCGTTGTGTTTCTGCAGGAGGGCGTGGCCCCCCATCGGGACAACATGCGCTCTTTGAACCTGGCGCTGAGAGCTTGTGACCGGCGAGACGCCGGAGGACGGATCCGGGAGAGCAGCAGTGACTCCGGGCCCCCGAAGGTTCCCTTTGGACCTCATCTGGTCCCTGTACGCCGCCAGAAGGACGCCGTTCCACCACAGACCACCGGGGGTCAGGAGGTCACCTCCTCCGGAGAAGAGGCCCCCATAACCACCAACGACCTGCTGGACTGCCTGCTGCACCCTGACGTGGTCGCCCGGGTCACCGAGCTGCTGCTGCAGAGACACACAGGAAGTGACGGGAGCGCCCCCCCCCCTCCTGATGCTAAAGACACTCCCTGCACGGCCTCGCCTCGACTCCTGTCTCGTCCCCACGGACAAGAGGACTTCGGCTAATCGGGACTTGATTTCCTGGCTAATCCGGTTTGTTTCCCTCCAGAGGCTCACAAACATGGCTGCTCCAATCGGGTTAGCATGCTAATGAGCCGCGACACTCGTGACGTCTCCGTGTCCCCGAGCGACCGCAGAGGGATGAGGACAAATAAACGAGATATTCGGTGAAAGGAAAGTCTCGTCTTTGTTTCCCACCGACATGAACAGAAGTCCGGAGTTCTTTTAATGGGTCCAGTTATTAAGACTAATGAAACCACCATCAGCTGTACTGTATACAAACAGTTTTAACATCCAACACTCGTATAGTATCAGCGCATAGGAGGATACATCACACGTCATTTATCTGACGCTTTTATCCAAAGCGACTTACAACAAGAACATTTCAACCATCAGGACACAAACTCAGAAGAACAAGAAACAAATGAGCCAGTGTACAACTTGCTGTAGATAAGAACCATTATAAGTCCAATGTAAGTGCTGCAGTCAGTTAGTGTGTTAGTGGAGGTAGAGTCTGAAGAGGTGTGTCTTTAGTCTGAAGGTGTGAAGGCTCTCTGTGGTCCTGATGTCTTCAGAGACCTCCTTCCACCATGTAGGAGCAGGACAGCAGAGAGTGGAGATCTAGTCGAGTGTTTTGCTCCCCTAGTGGTGGAAACTATAATACGTGTAATAATGTTTAGTGTTAGAATTATAGTTTGTGTGTTATTAGATATTAGTTATTACATTAACATATTAGATGAAGTGAATGCAATTTGAATCAAACACAATTTAGTCATTTAAATCATGTAAACACTGTACACATTAACATTCTGTCACAATGTGATGTTAAAACCTGGGGACGGATGCTAATTGTCGTCCTTTATGGATTTCTCCCAATTTTATCCCCAAAGAGGGTTTTTTGGGAGTTTTTTCAGGTCAGGTAGTAAATGAACAACTTAGTGTGAGACAGCCAACTGAGGCAAATGTCTTGAGAATTGGACCACATGAAGTGTCTTAGATCTTATGATGAAGTGTGATGAACGGTGATCATTCATGATGTGTTGTAATGAAGGTGTACTAGTTATAAGATGAAGACAAACTGTGTGCTTTGTTATATTCACTCATTGAGGCATGAAGCCAAACGTATACATTGAGTGTGTTGGAGTGTGAGGGACAGATGGACAGAGAGGGTTTCAGATTACAGCTGCAGCTTCACACCTCGACGTGAAGGGGACCGTCCAGGAGGGAGACGAGCCTGGATCAGTACCTTCTTCTCAGTGAGAAGAGGACGTGTTCTCCTGATGTTGTAGAGCGAGTATCTACAGGATGGTGCTGTAGTGATGTTGAGAGTCGGCTGTCGACGTCACGCCGAGGTTCCTGCAGTCAGAGTGGACGTTAACACGGAGTCGACCCTCAGGTCCCGTGTAGGAGAACCTTTCAGTCGGGGTTGATCCATCCGATGCCTTCACCATGAATACAGCGTTAGCAGGTAGGAGGCTACATCCAACAGCCAGTGAATCATCAGTCGACATGTTTGCGCCTTGCTGCTTTATTCTCTCACACCGAGTCAAAACAGGTACTTTTCTGTTAGTTTTAGTACAATGACTTTGTTTTAATTGTTACTGAGCTCCGTAGGAGAAAAACACCGAGTCATAAGCGATACAAAGGTGTAATAACGGTGCAACTTAATTTAATTACGTGACTAAAACATTACAAGTGAAGCGAGCGGTATCAGATACTTCGTCGTCACACGTTATAATCTGGTGCTGCGCCCCGTTTTGTTCAGCTGAAGGTCGTCGGACTTCACGTCTTCGTCGTCCGCGCCCGAATCCCCCCGGTACTTCTTGTCCCGCTGATCGGGGTCCACGTAGGTGTAGAAATGCGCCATGAAGGAGAACACGAAGAAGACGGCCAGCAGCAGGCCGGCGAACAGCAGGAACTCCTTCCACTGGATCGAGAGGTCAAGGGTTAGGGCGGACTGGGAGAGGAGCCAATCACCAGTGGGCAGTTTTAGAACAGGAAGTACACGTCCTGATCCTCCATCCTCATCCCTCCCATCTCACGCCGTCTTACCTGTTCAAGCCCCGCCCCTTCAGCCACGATCAACACGATCACGTTGCCAAACGCCACGGTGAGCAGCCAGCCGGCCTGCAGCACCGACTTCATGTTGGCTGGAGCCTGAGGCAGCAAAGTTATTCATTATAGAATTAATAACTTCTAACCGAGTATTTCAAATCACAAGTTTAACAAAATTATAGATACTGAAAAAAGAAATATATACAATACTGATATTGTATAGAAGCAACACGATCGTTAGTAACGACAATGAAAAAAGAAGGAAATACAAATATTATTTAACAATGACAAATATAATAATGTGATGGTGATGGCGGCTTTTTGTCCTGACCCCCGCTGACCTGCGAGTAGGAGAACTCCAGGCCCGTGATGGAGAACATGACCTCCCCCATGGTGAGGAGGACGTACTGGGGGATCTGCCAGGCGATGTGCACGTCGTTGGCCTCTACGTCCTCCATCTTGTGAGCCACGACCTTCCCCGCGTCCTGAGGAGACACGGAGGGTTCAGTCGGGGTCAGAGGTCAGGGGGTAAAACGTGGACCAGCCTCCCGACCTCGGTGAGGACGACAGTGTACGACGCTCCAAAGTCCAGCAGGCCCAGGTCCACGTGCGAGCAGAAGCCCGCAGCCGAGCAGCAGCTCACATCTGGATACCTACGGAGACAGGAAGTGAAGATCTCACCAACAGGAAGTCGCGCAGGTTCTGGAGGTTTGAGATCTGATGAACACAAAGGAAGTGAAACTAACTAACTGGTATATTCTGCTATTATTCCGTTTTCTGTGGCTGCTTCCACTCCACCTTCAGCCCGCAGGTCAGGAGGCCACAACCTTTATTGCCTCACAGAGAAAACCTCTCCAACATCCAGAAGGTCAAACTGGACATCAGGATGTCACGTGCATTATCATCCATAACACCTCCCCGATGGACAGGAGGTGGTTTCAAACTCACCGCCCGCGGTCCACGGTGCTGTTGGCAGACATGCTGAAGCCAGAGGTCACGTGGAAGGTCAGCGCTCCCACGGTGAGGTTCACGCTGTGCGGCAGCGTGTTGAGGAACCTGAGGAGCCACAGGAGCTCCTGAGTGAGCTGAACTTCTGAATGAACACATGAATGATCAGAGGCCTCCTTTACCTCAGCAGAGGATTCCCGTCTTGATTCTTCCCGATGTGGTCCGTCACCTAAACGATCAACGGATGAGTCAGTGGGAGCGCTGAGTAAAGACTTCACATCACTGGGAGATTTTACCCCAAACGATGAGAAATTATATCTGTATCGTGTTTACGAAGGAAAGATCAATGTCGCGATTAGATATTTAGCACTTTTATGCTATTTATTGTTTATTATCAACGAGTCAGCAGGAAGAAGCCATATTTGGGCCCCTGAGCCCCTCAAAGCGTCCCCTGCTTTCTGGCCTATTGGAGACCTGTCACTGTAGAACCAGGACCAGAGGAGTCTCCTCCTGGTGGACGTTAGAGAGAATGCAGCTTTAACGCATGAAGCTCTGGCTAATCCTGGAGGTCCTCCTGGCGCCCCTCACCCGTGTGCAGCTGACCCCCGTGGCGTCCGGGTACAGGATGAGGCTGTAGGCCTCCCGCTGCTCCGGCCTGAAGCTGCACTCAGACGGCCTCCCGCTGAAGGTGAGCTGGAGCTTCAGCTCGTCTCCGGAGGCCGAGAGGGTCTCGTATGAGGGGGGGTCCTACAGCAGGGACACCAGAAGTCTGAATAATCACCAGCAGTGTTCGTTGTTTTATTCCCTTAAACTCTGGAGGAGAAACTAAATAAATCATCTGTAAACTCGTGTCTCATATTCATAAACGACTTTATTACCTTCACATAAAGCCTGTAGAGAAACAAGGGATGAGTGTTATAAAGAAACAAAGTGTTCCTAAAACATCTAACTAACTTTCTATGTAAAAGTTTGATTAGATTCAACTTTATTGTCACTGCACAGGGTACAAGTACTGAGGCAACGAAATGCAGTTTAACATCCAACAAGTGCAAAATAGAGTATGTGCATATGTTAAGTGTAGTAAGTGAATAAATAGATATGTACAGTAAGAAATAGTTGTGCAATATGAACAGTAAGAAATGGATATACAATAACAAAGTTACAAAATAACATAAATGTACGAGAATCAACATAATTACTAAAATAACTTTATTATACAATTGTTTCCAAAGCTGAACCATAAACTTCATATTGGTCTTTTATATTCAAACGTGACTTTTATAAGTCGATGCTTTTTATTGTCTTTCACATAGACGGTGTTTGTTGTTGTCGTGGTTACCTGGAGGCGAGGGACGGGGTCCGGGAAGGCGTCGCTGCCGGGGATCTTCAGCATCACGTCGCCGTCGGCAACGTTGATCACCTGCAGCAGGAAGTTGCCCTCCGGCACCGGCGGCACCACCGACCGCTGCACAGCGCGCGCTCATATTTAATACACGTACATGTGTCCTGTGCGTGTACTTCTTTGACAACGTGGCGGGGGATCTTAACGCACCACAACGTTCACCTCCACCAGCGTCGCCGCCACGAAGGCCAGCGCCGCAAAGATCATCCCGGTGGCCATTTTCCTCAGAGGCCTGCGGCGACAAAGAGTCCTCGCTTTAACCCAGAGAAGAAGAACTGTGCCCTGATTGGACGCAGCTGAACTCAAATGACTCCTGAAATGTGGGTGTTTCACATGGACACGTTTACCTTGAGCGCTAATGCTAAAGCTAATGCTAACAAGGGGGCTACTCACGTGATGTTGATCTTGCAGAGGCCGACCAGCGGATAGATGGCGAGGTCGAAGACGGGGATGAAGAGGAGGATCAGCAGCGCGTTAAGCATCTGGAGGGGAAACGAAGGGGGGGGGGTCACAGAGGTCAGAGGTCACAGTCAGACAGGAGCATCCGTTTCTAATAGCTGCTGTGAGAAGTGACTCCAACGTGCGGCAGAACATTAAACAGAACGATATTTAAGATCACGACAAGCCGGCCGAGAACATTTTATGGATAAATGGGATTTTATTCCATTTAGATTAAAAAATGAATGGAATGGAGATAGTTGTTGTTTATGTTTGAATGTTACATTTGGACTCTCCAAACAAGGAGGTGATTAGCTTAGCTTAGCTTAGCACGAGGACTGGACTGCATGTAAAAGACATATGATATCTGCATGTGTTTAAATGATGTAATATGAAGGCAACTACAAGATATTTGCATCCATTTGAAGAATATAACATAAGATATTTGCAAATAGGACCCACCTGCAGCTGGTCTGGCTTAATAATGAAGGAGTCTCCCTGAAAGACACCAAGAGGAATTCAACTTAACACATTCAAACATTCACCAGATGTGTCCCAAACGGCCTCATTAAAGGTCTTCAAAGGGATGAACGTGACAGGATGTGCAGAGTTTGCACAGTAATCCCACACAAGCAGGTTTAGGACCATAAACAAGGAATCTCAGTGGAAAAACATCACGCTGACAGAAGGACCCGTGATGAGTCTCGTAAAAGACGCTCAGATCAGTTCAGGAGAAGAAGTGAAGAAGCTCTCACTACAGCCATGTTCATCCGGGTGGCTTGGAGCGTCCAGCGGGAACCCTGCAACACACAAACGGACACCCACCGTTAGCTTAGCCACCGCTAACCACAGCGGACCTCCTGAAGCCAGAGAGCAGCTCGACCTGCTCTTCTGTCATGAAGCTTCTCTGTGTTTAAATATGCAAACTAGATCTCATATTTGTCCTAATTGTTATACACTTCCAGAACAAAGTTCTTGTTTGACCTCGTTGACATGTTACAGCCTTGTGTTTTTAAAGTAGGACTTTAGGATCCTAATATTATTCCATAAATAAAATCAACAGAAATGGAAAGTTTGAAGAAAAGGATTCCTCGTGTTTCAGTAATAAAATGAAAGAAAACAAGTGAAATGTGTTTTCATGTTGCTTCGTCCAGCAGCCCTTTGTTTGGTCCTGAATGAGACCAACATTCCTGTGAAGGGACGGTTCCCACAGCTCAGAGGTTCTCCGCTCTTCACGTACCTGCTGGTCGTACAGAGCCCAGAACATCGGCAACGGGATGTAGAGGACCAGAACCCTCAGAACCATCTTTATCTCCTGGATCAGACGCTTCTGTGAAACCACAACAGATGTTCTATCAAAGGAGATCACCTGCGTGGCAAACCAACGTTCTCCTGAAGGAACTTCTATCTGGTTTTGAACGGGGCTCCGTTGAGTCCTGATCCTCTTTGAGACAGAAAGGACCCTGGTGGGAGGAGACACTACCACTCTAGTCCACATTAAAGTAGCGGCATCTAACAAATAGGTGGACTTCCAGATGAGGTCATGAATGTTACCGAGTACTTCTCCTCGGACCAGTCCAACCAGTGCTTCCTCTTGGAGTCGTTCTTCGACCTCCGCCAGCGGCTTTTGATGGCGAACTGTAAACGGAAACAGAATAACGGGAGTGAAACTGCAGCAGATGCAACGGATTACATGACGTGAGAGACGACAGAAGAGAGGAAATCATGAGCTGTGACGGGAGAAGACTCACCGCGATGCAGCTGCAGACCTCCAGCAGGATGTTTCCCTGAGGAGGGTTCCTCTGGTACAGCCGGCTGCCACACATGAACACGACTGCCACACACAGAGGAGGCGTCAGGAGGAGGAGAGAGGAGTCAGGAGGAAGAGTGAGGAGGAAGAGTGAGGAGTCAGGAGGAAGAGAGGAGTCAGGAGAAGGAGAGGAGTCAGGAAGAGTCAGAAGGAAGAGTCAGGAGGAGTAGAGAGGAGTCAGGAGGAAGAGTCAGGAGGAAGAGTGAGGAGGAAGAGTGAGGAGTCAGGAGGAAGAGAGGAGTCAGGAAGAGTCAGAAGGAAGAGTCAGGAGGAGGAGAGAGGAGTCAGGAGGAAGAGTCAGGAGGAAGAGTGAGGAGGAAGAGTGAGGAGTCAGGAGGAAGAGAGGAGTCAGGAAGAGTCAGAAGGAAGAGTCAGGAGGAAGAGAGAGGAGTCAGGAGGAGGAGAGAGGAGGAGAGGAGTCAGGAGGAAGAGTCAGGAGTCAGGAGGAGGAGAGGAGTGAGGAGGAAG